CATCCATCTTGTATTACCACAGCCCTACTCTTCCTTCCCTTCCCTTTTCTCCTTCCCTCCCTTCTTCTCTACTTTCTTCTTTCCTCCTCTCCTTTTTCTTCCCCCCTTCCTCTCCCCCACTCCTCCACTCTTCTTCCCCTTCCTGCCCTCTCTCCTACTCTTTACTTCCCCTCCATGTCTTCCTCTCCTTTCTCCTTTCTCCTTTCCCTCTCCTTTCCTCTCTTCTCCTGTCCTCTTCCTATCTTTCCTTCCTCAGAGGGAAATTCCTGAATTTGCCTCAATCCACAGATTTACAATGCAATGCACCTCTTATATAGAAGTGAAAAGAGGGGTCCTTGGCGCACTCTGAACATGGCTGTTTTCTTGCAGATGTTTCTTTACCCAACTAGGTAACATCCATCGTAGAAGGAAGAGAGGTATGTAGAAAGGAGGAGGAGGACTATAGGACCCTTGGTTCTCTGTGAACATAGTGGTTTTCTTGCAGATGTTTCATTACCAAACTAGGTGACATCAGTGGTAGAAGGAAGAGAGGTATATAGGGAGTGTTCTGACTAGACTTCCTGAGCCTTTAAAAAGCATACACTTAGTCCCCAAAACCCTCTTTTTATTTCAACGGCTGTGAATTATGTTCATTCACAGTCTGTAATGAGTCACAAATAGTTTGTAAAGAGTCTGACCGAAGTCTGCCAAAGTCTTTCGGGATAAGGCTGATAAGAAGAACCCACCTTTTTCTCCCTTGAAATGCTGCCAAAGACCTAATTGCCAATTAGCTTTGCAAGGCCACATGGAGCACAGAGTCAAAACGGAGCTTCAGGCTTTAAACTGACCAGTATGAACAAAGTTGCTTCTTGCAAAGGCTTGTGTGCCTTTGCTCCTCCTTTTTGTCTTATGGGAGGGGCCAATCATCTCCAAGCCTTACTCCCAAATCACCCAAACTGAGAGAGGCAAATTGCAGGTGGACCCGCCCACCCATCCCGGCTCCAAAACGTCCTAGGTAGCTCCGTTTTCGACACCCCGTGCATGCATGCACACCACATGCAAGAGCAAAGCGCCCACGCGGAAGGCCACACACACACATGCACCGAAGGCGGGCACATGTTCACAGTGGCTAACCAGTGGTAAACCTAAGAGAATCCCACCGCTGATTTTAACCTTTCTTTTCTCTCCTTCCTTCCACCTCAAGTGTGGTAACATCACGGATCAAAACTTTGCTGGAGGAAAGAAAGCAGAGTTGCGATTGTGTGTGTGTGTGTGTTTTTTTTAATTAATCTCACTGGTCTCCCAATGGCTCCACTGTCCAGTTGGATCGAGGCAGCGACAACATCAATTATCCCGAATTTCTTGGAGTTCTTCTGTTTATATTACTGAGTCCGTGGACTTCCTTCATAAAACAATGAATAACTAAAACACCCTTAATTATTAACCAGCAGTTCAATTAGCCACATCCCTTAGGACATCATCATGAGCCTGTAAAAATTAACTGACTTTTAGGAAGGGAAGAATACAAATGATCCACGAGGCAATTTGGCTGAGGAAATATACATAGTGCCCCATCAAACCAGACGTGCTGCACTCCAACCAGAGAGAGGCGAGTGACATCATTTCCGTGATGACATCACCTCCAGTGACGTCTATGGTATAACATGAACCACATACTTCATTTGTGTTAGTAGCGTGATGATGTCATGAGCCAGTCTGGTCTCGTGGTTAAAGTTCTGGCCTAGAAACCAGGAGACTGGGAGTTCTAATCCCACCTTAGCCATGAAATCTGTCTTGGTAACTGAGTCAATCACCAGGAGACTGTGAGTTCTAGTCTCACCGTAGCCATGAAATATATATGGTAACTTTGGGCCAATCACCAGGAGGCAGTGAGTTCTAGTCCCACCTTAGCCATGAAATCTGTCTTGGTAATTGAGACAATCACCAGGAGACTGTGAGTTCTAGTCCCACCTTAGCCATGAAATCTGACTTGGTAACTGAGACAATCACCAGGAGACTGTGAGTTCTAGTCCCATTTTAGCCATGAAATCTGTCTTAGCAACTTTGGGCCAATCACCAGGAGGCAGTGAGTTCTAGTCCTGCCTTAAGCATGAAAACTGGCTGTGTAACTTTGGGCCAATCACCAGGAGGCAGTGAGTTCTAGTCCTGCCTTAGCCATGAAAGCTGTCTGGGTAACTTTGGGCCAATCACCAGGAGACTAGGAATTCTAGTCCCGCCCTAGCCATGGAATATGGATAACTTTGGGCCAATCACCAGGAGGCTAGGAATTCTAGTCCCGCCTTAGCCATGGAATATGGGTGACTTTGGACCAATCACCAGGAGATGGTGAGTTGTAGTCTTAACTTAAACAAAGAAAGCTGGCTGGGTGACTTTGGGCCAATCACCAGGAGCCAGTGAGTTCTAGTCCTGCCTTAGCCATGAAAACTAACTGGGTGACTTTGGTCTAGTCACACTCTCTCAGCCCAACGCACCTCATAGGGTTGTCATGGCAACAGGAGGAGAAATTTTAGGTATGTTTCCTTCTTGAGCTATTTATAAAGATTGGATAAAAATCTAATCTAATCAATCAATCAATCTTATTGTGGATTTATTAGGAAACCAGATACAAAATAGTGAATATTGCAATTGCCTTCCCATTTCATCCCTACTGTTAACTGATGGGACAATGTGTTCAGCTTCTAAGCATGCATTTCTTTCTTACTTCATTTCCCTGGCACAATCGTTCATTTTAGTGGCTCGGTATTTATATTATTAGTTTAAAAATGTAAATTACTAGTTTAAAAGTGTAAAATTATGCCATGAAATAGTTCATAACTCTCTCATTAGAAAAGATGTTATCTAAGAACATCCTAGGGGGTTGGACTAGATGACCTACATGGTCCCTTCCAACCCTGTTAATCTCTTAATCTGCAAAAACTTATGTTTCTCCTGTTATACATGTAGTTTGTTTAGTGACCAAAAGTACAACGGCACTGAAAAAAATAGCAATAGCAATAGCAGTAGACTTATATACCGCTTCATAGAGCTTTCAGCCCTCTCTAAGCGGTTTACAGAGTCAGCATATCGCCCCCAACA